CAGAGAGGGAGGGAGGGAGGGAAGGAGGGGGGGGGAGAGAGAGAGTCTGAGTGTATGTGAGTGTGTGTATGTACCAACACAAACACACACATATAGAGACATTTATTAATTATAAGGAGTTGGCTCACATAATTTTGGAGGCTGAGAAGTTCCAAGCTCAGGAGTGGGCAAGCAGGAGTCTGAGGAGAGCCAAGGAAGGCCCGAGTATCAGGAGAACTGAGAGTAACCTTCAGTTCACAAGTAGGCAGACTCAAGAACCAAGAAATGCTAAGGTTTCTGTCCAAGTTCAAAGGCTTAAAAATACCAAATAATTACTCAAGGAGGATTTCCTTACTCAGCCTTTTTGATCCCTTTAGGCCTTCAGCTCATTTGATAAGGGCCCCATGCTAGGGAGGGCAATGTACTGGGCTCAGTTTATCAACTCAAATGTTAACTTGAATCCAGAGCACTCTCACAGACACACACTATGGTCCAGGGAAGTTGACATATAACATTAGTCTCCAAAGTACCATGAAATCAGCTTGTTGGGGTTAAAGAAGTGTGGTTTAGATAAAAGAAAAGAAGAAGACATAAACCACCCACTTGAGAGCATTGGTGGTTAGAGGGAGACAATCTGGCACATATCTCAAGAGTCAGCAGGGCCAGCTAACATTTCTCTAAACGAAAAGGGCGATCTAACTTGACTCTTCTCTTCTAATCCATAAGACACTTATTCGGGCATTCTTTCCCCCTTAGAAGATGATTAGATTGAATGTGGAATGTTCCATCTTAATCGTATTTGCCCAAAGGTAAGTTCAAGGTGGTTTGCAGTTTTGGCAGGCATGCCAACATTGGCAGAAGCAGGTGGTGGAGATGCTGCAGGACCAAGGAGACCTGGTCATCTGTGCTGTGGATAAAGGTGCATGCAGCCACCATACAGGCCATCATAGGAGCTGCTCTCTGCTACCTGTGGGTTTCTTTCTAGCTTTCCAGCTGGCCTAGTGTTTAAGCAAATTCAGGGAGCTACAGTTTTCAGGCAGTGAGGCCACATGGAACAGCACCAGACAAGGGAAGCTGAAGTTTTTGGTCTCTTAGTCTGGGCAGCTGGTGCACAGGGGCATGTCCTTGCCTCTGTGTGTGTGTGAGGCAGGAGGTGGAGGTGGATATATATATATGGAGAGAGAGAGAGAGAGAGAGAGAGAGAGAGAGAGAGAGAGAGAGAGAGAGAATGGAGAAATAGAAACTCCGAGAAGCCTCAGTGAACACGATGCAGTCCTTTTGAACCTACAGACCACTTTCTAGAATGCTGGTTTTTTCTTATGGTGTCACAGTCTTCTGTCCTTTACTGAGGAAGATCCTGTTTCTATTTCCAGTCGAGACTTACTGGAAGATTTCAATGATATTCAACGCATAGTTTCATTATATACTGTGATTATATGTGCAATATAATATACAGTGACATGTCTTTCCTCAGTGTGTTTATAATTGATCAGGCTCAAGTTAATGAGCGCTTATTGAGCATCCATGTGTTCAGGATTAGGTCAAGTGCCATGGGGCATATCACAAATATAGAAGCATATTACTGATTCTTAGGTTGACCACACACAAGCTGGACAAAACGAGGATGCTACACTATAGGTGACAGTTAATTACCCCGGCTCTGTTGGCTGTCTTTGGTACCAAAGGAGACCGAGAGGCAGGCGCACCTGTTCCTGTCTGCTTCATTCTCACTCCAATGTCAGAGTCCTCACTGGCCCAGCAGACACTGGGGTTCTGGTGGTCCCTTCTGTCCTAAGGCTAGGAACAGCATCTTGCTGTGGTGGCCCAAGGCCATTTCCCATGCCCTCCCTCTTTCTCCTTCCACTCCTCTGTTAGTGGCTTCCTCCCTAGAGTCTCTTCATCTGCACCTTTATGGGCGAGTTGTTTCCCATGGAGGACCCGACTGAAACTTACCAAGTAGTAGGCCGGGCTTCCTGTGTTTGCTGGTAGAGATGCCAAGGTGCCAACCAGAACAAATACTTGTTTGACAGAGGGCTGACTTCCACCAGCAGGAGAGGAGGAGGAGCTTTGAAAGCAGCCAGCCCCATAGAGAGAAGAAAAGGCGAGGGCTTGAAGTGAACAAGCTGGCCTTTGGTGCAGACAAACCCGATCCGTGCAGCTAATTCTTAGACTTCAAGAAGTTAAAACAGTCCTTCCTAGAGGCTTGTGCTTCCTGTCCTGTCACTTGTTTGAAAAGAGAGCTACATCAAAACTCTTGGCTGGCGTCAGAATTCCCTAGGACCCAAACTTCACAGCTCGGCCCTGCTGGGGGAATCACAGATCCTCAATTAGGAGGAAGCGTGAGGCTGAGCAGGGAGCTCCCTCCTGCCTTAATCACTTCTGGCATAATGTTCTTTTTCAAGATTTGCTAATTGAAATTAAACAGCTGCCGCGTTCGGACAGGGACAACAAAGATCTCCTGCTCCAGCCCTCTCTGATTTCGCAGGGACTGACAGGCTGTGAAGAAACCCGGGGCAATCTTCCGCTTACAGCCGCCCGGTCACCCGATGGTTGACTCAGAGTAAAACAAAGAGCAGTGAGGAGAAATGGCCTCTGTTGCTACAGCTGGGGGCCCACCGGACAAAAGGCATTTTAAGTTAGTATCATGGACATGTTCATGAAAATCCTCAGCAGCCAACACTGGCAGTCCAAGCATCTGAGTTGTCTTTTCTGTTGCTACGGTAACATTCCCTGAGAAAAGCAGCTTAAGGGAGAAGGGGGTTCTTTTGGCTCACAGTCCATCATAGCAGGGACTCCCTGGTGACAGGAACTTGAGGCAGCTGGTCACAGTGCACCCACAGCCAGGAAACAGAGAACGATGTAAACCATGCTCAGCTGGCTGCCTCCTTTTTATATAGTTCAGGATCTCAGCTCAGGGAATGGTGCCACCCATGATGGGTGGTCTTCTTGCCTCAAATAACCTTATTAAGATAATCCCTCATTGGCCTGTCCAGAGGCTAACCTAGTCAAAACAATCCCTTACAGGTATGCCTGGGAGCTTGTCTCCTAGGTGATCCCAGAGCTCAAATCGAGTTGACTGTGAACACTAATCATCACACCAAACCACCAAGACACCTGTTTCTACCTGCGGGAAGTGACTAGAAATAATCGCGTGTGTGTGGGTATTCCTGCAAGTGATTCTTTGCAAGCTAAGTTCTCTTCTAGGCAGTTAATATTGGTACAGGGCAGTTTTATCACCCTAGGAGCCAGATAGTAGTAAAAGGTGCTCAGTGCACTTAAGGGCACACCAGTCACGTTCACAAGTTGTCTTTTCAGTTCCTAAAAGCATGGTGACTCAGGCCTTAGCTGGCAACTTTGAGCCAGAGGGCTTGTGTTTGCATGGGGCTTCAGTAGAGAGTTCTGTGCCTTGGTTTCCTCAAGTTTCCAATGAAAATAATGAGAAATAATTTAAGTAAGCCAGAGATAATCAACGCAGGTAAGTACACTGATTTCTTTGGAGAAGAAGCTCAGGCTTTGTCAGGAAATAACGTTTATTAATTTGAATAAAAGCAATGAAACCATGTGGGTTAAACACGCAGGAGAATGGATCCTTGAATAATGATAATGTCAGGTATGAGAACAACGAAGAACCCAAACAAAGGCTCGTACTAGGCAGAGTTCGTCAGTGTGGGGGAGGGTTAGCTCACACTGTAAATTCTCTTAGCTAATAGCATAGAAGGGGAAGTCACTCAGAATCAGAGAAGACTTTCCAGATCACCCTAAAAGCCAGTGTCCTACCTTATTTTGACTTAGTTTTCTTTATGGCTATCTGTCTTTTTGTCTCTCTCTTGTTCGAATGTCTGTCTGTCTGCTTATGCTTATCCTTGCTGATGAGTCTGGTAGCTCAAGAGAGAAGAGGCTGTGTCTGTTCACTCTCGACTCCTCAATGCCCAAAGTCATACTTGACACACTGCAGATATTCAATCAGTGTTTACTGAATGCATTTAATAGCAATATTACTGTGTGATTCTTTACAAAATCATTTCCTTAATCCTGATATAGAAGGCTCAGTATCCAACCTATAGGGATTCTAAGGAAAAGAAACTATTAAGGGAAATATTTAAAAATATCTCCCAAATCTAAGGACATGAACTTTACACTTAAAATCTGTAAAGAAGCCTAGAGCTTGGTTCCCAGAACCCAGAACTCATAAACACCTGTAATTCCAGTTCCAAGGGATTTGACATCCTCTTCTGGACTCTGCAGGAATATATATGCACATGTACATGCACATACACCCTACATCCCATAAACATACATAAAAATTAAGTAAATTTTGAAAATCTACAAGGAATATCCATTTCAAAGAACATCATTGTGAAATTTCAGAACATCTGGGATAAGGAAGAGATTCTGAAAATCTCCAGAGGAGCTGAGAAGCAGGTCACTTACAAATGAGAACTTGAGCATCTTAGTAGATGGAGAAAAACAGAGTCACAGCCAGAGGGATGGCTTGGCAGGCAAATGTGGTTGTGGCCAATCCCAATAATTAAGATCAGTCTCCGGGACCCACATAGTGAAGAGAGAACCAATCTCCCACAAGTTGTCCTTTGACTTACACACACACA